TCTCTCTCTCTCTCTCTCTCTCTCTCTCTCTCTCTCTCTCCCCTCCCTCTCTCATTTTCTCTTTTTTTCTCCTACATCTGAAACTGAGAATGATGCTGACCCATGATTACCTTCAGTCCCTCTCATCCTGGAACAAATAGATTGCTTTGTAATTTACTGGTGCATCTAAGGATGAAACTGGAACTCATGATATTCCAGGTCTAAATGAGTCAAAATGTGAGGGTATAAAAGCAAAAAGAGGAGTGCAGGTTGCCAGGTGACTGAAAAGCTGAAAATGACGGTGAGAAATCTGCCTATCATTGACAGATAAGGGTCTTGTGTGGAGTGTTAGTTATCAGTCTTATTATTCATGAGTGCCCCAGGCTCCATTGTAACTGCTACCCCAGTGAAGCCAAAGCCTACGCCTCTCTCTCCTTTTTTTTTCTTTTTCTTTTTGTGCTGCTTCTGTTGGCTCCTGGTTCTGGTGCTGAACAAGGCTGAGATGTTGATATGTGGCTCCTGGTTCTGCAGCCTCCTATTCTCTGACCTAAATTTACACTCCACCTCAGCTTCTGTCTTTGCTTTAAGACGAAAATCCGGGTTTCACACTCGTGCTACACATCAGTCGAGACTGTGATTACAGCTTTGATCAAAAGGGATGGATAGAYGATTTAGCCGTTTTGTTACTGTGTGAGGTAGAAACCAACAGCATCTCAGAGGTCTCGGATGAAGCAAAAACGAGCGCGAGGATAATGAATTTCACTCTGGCTGCCCTCGTTTTCACACGTAGGTTTCACACATAGGCATGCACCATAATAGGAAGACATGGAAAATTGTGGAGTAGTGCAATGATCACATGCTCTGGTCCCACAGCAACCTCCATGTGCTRGGGGTGGGTGTTTAGAGGGGGAATCTGATTGTCAAATTCATATTGTTGGCATGCAGCTGGTGTCTGCAGTTTATTGGAATCTTAGCGATATTATGTGCACATTTCTGTTGCAAAATTGATAAACTTGCAACCATAATGTGAGTAGTTAAACACCAAGCATTCCTTGAAGGAACACATGCCATCCCACCAGCTTTCAGGTACGATTTTTAACTAAAATAGTCAGAGTGGATGTTGTCATTTTGGTCAAACCTAAGGTACAATTTTGCGAGAACTGAGAGAGTGTGCTGTGAGCATTACCATTTTTGTGTTGGCTTARGTTAACTGGGGCCTGCATCTTGAGTTGGGGTGATCCTGAGGTGTAGACGAACATCCGCTGATTAATTTCTGAARGTTCTGGTAAAATCTGAAGCGGCTCATGTGCAGTTAACAGACAAATAGTTGACACCAAATATTTATTATATTTGTACAAAAACATTCCACAATGCATAGAGCTCTGAGTCTATAAAGGAGATTATGCTCAACTACTACCACCCCAAATTTTAGCTAAATATCTGCAAAAGTGGCTTAGTTAGAGACATTTTTTGTCATTTTAAATGTTAGTTGGACTTGGCAGCTATTTTTAAGGGACTAACTCTAAAAGTGAATCAGTTCAAACTCAATGATTAAGTTCTGAAAGTTTTATTAAGATCCAACCACTCGTTAATGAGACAAATCTTTTGGGATCAGAACTATGTGTTGGGGATGACTATTAGCAACTACCGCACAATTTTAGCCCAATGTCTGTACAGCTCACTGAGTTATTTGTGTTTGGTAAAGCTACTTAGTTGGATGCAAGTGTCTATATGTTAATGGATTTTCAATGTTTTAAACCTCCTAAAGTTTCATACAGAAACTGACTGATTTATTTTAACATTTGCAATCTCCTGAAGACAAATGCTACATTGTAGAAAATATTTGAAACTGTCTCCAGTCGCCTATCCTAAAATCACCTGGATGAAATATCACATTTCCATTTCTGGTTTCCACCTTATTTTCCAGCATTTGCTCTCCTATCTTCTGCT